TTTGATGTGTCACTTATATGTAAATATTTAAATGCTGATTGAAGCATTTAAATAAACTGATAACAGAGAATCAGATGATACGGTATTTAGGCGGTAACTGAGGGGCTATTTGACCCCATGAGTCTTCAAAAATAACATAACAGTGAAGGACTAAATGACCCCTCATGGATCACTTAAAAATTCTACTAATGGGCTGAAACGACCCTCATGGCAGTCAACGTGTTAATTTGTACAATTAATGTATATATATATATATATATATATGTATAATTTTTTTATCATTCTAAAAGTACTTTTAGAAAAAATTCTTTGAAGATGTACTATAGTATTATTGGTTATTGTCAAAATTGTTCTTGAATGAGTTCTGTTATAGCAATTTTTATATAAAATGTAAAACATGTGATTTGAGGATATGAACTACGAGCGAAGTAAGCGATTTTTTGAAATAATGTGAAAAAATTGCGGCTTCATAGTAAAGATGATGTGACTCCTTTGTACATATGACTTGTATTTGTAATAAAAATATAATAAAAAATGTATTAGTCTGTTGTGTGTGTTAACTGTTTGGTATTTATTATAATTTTTAGAAGTAATATGTAGTTTATTAAAAATTATTGTAATTTGTAGTATGATAGGTACAATTTCAAAAAATATTGACATTACATTAGCGTTGAATAGATATTTTCCCAATAGCTGATTCGATGAACCACTTGTATCCCAAATGTTGATTTTAACGTTACGACCTTGGATTTGAGTTCGTTTTAAATAAAATTCAACACCATTTGTCGGAATGTATTGTCTTGTAAAATCGTCATGACAATACCTGGATACAATGGAACTCTAAAGAAATAATTTTATTATTTAGTCCTTGTTTGAGAAAAAATTTTAAACACTAAGGAAATTAGATTATTTCAATACGTTTAACTTTCATTACATTTAATGTCAAATGTTACAAAAAATTGTATGTAAAATGTAATTATTAACTATTACTTACCTTTCCAGAATTAGGTTCGCCTATNATGTAATTATTAAGTATTACTTACCTTTCCAGAATTAGGTTCGCCTATAATTACAGTTTTCAATTCTTCTTCGACAAACAAGCTATTACTTATGATTGACATTGCAAAATATAATTAAATTGGAAAAAATTAAAAAAACATTTATTAGTAGCTATCTATTTACAGTATAAGTCAATTATTAAGACATTTGTCGTTAATATATTTTGATAAGGTTTATAACTACTTTTATTTTGACAATTTTTGTTTTGATTTGGTTACCATAGCTTCCTATTTAACTTACTACTTTAAACACATCTAAATCATAAGATTTCTAAAATTATTATTATTATTTAATTACAAATTATAGGAATAATATAATTTTCATAAATAGAATGTTAGGTTTAAAGATGTATAAGTAATAATATTAATATTTTTCTTTCGATTTTATTTGTATTGGCAATCATGGAAGAAATATTGCCATACCGTATTTTAGATAACTATGTATACGTGAATGTATATTGTTTTGTATTACATTATTATCCGTTACAAAAAGAAAATATTTTTTGTACATTTTATTATTACTTAAATTAAATAAATATTATATTTTACCGTTTTGAATTTTACAAAAATTGATTTTAGGTTTTATGCATTTGAAAAAGAAAATTCCATCAATTATTAAACAAATTTTTTTTAGACGAATTCTAAAGTCTGATCATACCAAATCATTTTTGAGTAAATTTATGATATTTTTAGTCCATGCTACTCAAGTAATTTAAGTAATTTAAGTTTAAGTAATTAGAGCTATTTTTTGTTAATGGTGATGATAAGTTCGTCAAATTTCACAAATATTTGTATCATAAATATTTAAAAATAAAAATTTGGTTAAAATACAACTTGAATAACTCAATAACTGGAGAGTTTATTTTTTGTAGAAAGGAATACACGTAAACAGATCCCCAATCAAGTTTTTTGTAATTATGTATAAAAGCATTATGTTAAATATCTTATAACGTAGTAATTATTATATTTAAAATATTTTTACAAATAGTAAATAACTAGTTATGTAAAAGAATTTTGTTCATAATTTAATAAAACAATTGTTTAGAAAATAATGCTTAAATATTGTAAAATAACAATTCACAAATGATTATTTATATAATTAGATAATATAATTATAATGTATTTATTAAAAGTGAATTTAGTAATTGTATTGTAATTATTCAATACTTATTAACATGCATTTTTTAAATCGACTTTTCAGCTAGGAAATTGTATATTATATAATGAATATTATTTTCACTGAAGATTATTTATATTAGAAGTAAAGAAAATTAAACGAGCTTTCGGAAAAAATTTAAAGTTGTGTTATGAATGTTTTTTATTAGTTATATCACATCATCATAAATTATATAAATAACAAATATTATAATTTTATTTTTGTTACACGTTTTATAGTAATAATTTAGCGTTAGTACACATATATCTTAGTTTTTCAATAACACTGCCAAAGAAGTTTTTCGTAGTACTGTTAAAAATGTAACTTAGTAATATCATCCCAATAGCGTAAAATAATTATCTCGTATTATAAAAAAGAACTTTTATCATAAAAAATAATGGTTAGATTTAAGACTAATTAATTTGTAAACATATCCTTTAATTATCTTTAACCTAATTTGATATTGATTTGATCTATTGACTATTCGTAAATAATATTATTCTATACATTTGATAATTCTTTTATTTAAGTATAGAGGGGGTAAGCTAATATACTTTTACTCCCTCCATAGTAATAATTTTTGCTTGGGCTTTACAAATAGCGGTATTTTAATGACGTTTTACGTCTAATCGGTACGTCACCGTCTTGAACACATTTCATATTTTTAGTCCGATGATACACAAGTGAGATATCTTTGTCCAATAATAAAACACAACTATACGCGCCATACCATTCTTTAAATTATTATAATCTATAAAAAATTATGATATATACAATATTTTTAATAATTTTTTATTTAATACTACTTTTAATTTTTTGTAATTAACGATATAAAAAATGAGATGACAGTTAGTTTTTAAGTTATAAAGCATTAATGTACATTAAAGTAATGCAAAATCATAATCGGTGAATACTATTTAATTTTATGGAGGTATATGTTGTTTACGTAGATGTAGTGGACATATAATAAAACACAAATATATTAATAATATATTCTATTTTATTTTATAAAATAGAAATTTATTTAGTTTAATGTATCTCTCATAATTTATTAAATTTTCTGATTTAAAATTTTTAAGTCTAATGAAAATGTTGGTATATTAATTCATTATATTAGCATATACAAATCTGCTGGTAATGATTTACATGTTAGGAGAAAATTTGATTGGATAAATGACATTCATTTTGACAGCGTGCCATTGATACTGTGTATTAGTGTTGGAATAATTACTTTTTTTTATCAATTAAATCACTTAATAGTTTAGGAACTATTTAAAAATTACTCAATATAACAANATTTATTAAATCACTTAATAGTTTAGGAACTATTTAAAAATTACTCAATATAACAAATAATTAAGTTGCGTTACTTTTGTGATATTTAAGTAAATTAACATCAACATTATTAATTACAATGAAAGTTACTTTTATTTCATTTATATGTTAAATGTGAAATTTATTTAAATTAAATCATTTTTATTGGTAATAATTTTAATGAGACTTCACTTAAGAGTGTATTTAGAGATTCACNAATTTTAATGAGACTTCACTTAAGAGTGTATTTAGAGATTCACAATAATATGTAAAACATATTTTTTTTTATGATAAGCCCCCCTAGTATAGAATCACAAACAAGCCAGTTAAAGGCAGTGCGAACTTTTATAATAAATCGCTCAATATAAAGTAATGAATAAGTGATCACAATTACTCTTGAATAATTAATTTAAATTAAAATTAAATTACTTTTTATATCTGTAATTAAGTAATACTAAAATTTTTTTATAAGTATTTTTGTTACTGTAACTTATAATTCAAGCTAAGTTAATACCTTCCAACACTGTAATATATCTACTGTGATGATTAATTTTAATTTATTATTGTAGAAACCAGGTCCTTTAAAGATTTAAAAAAGGAGAAAAGACAAAAAAAATCCTTTAGAATACTGCTAAAATCACACTTGTGGACGATATATATAGAAATAGGTACTGGCTACTTGGTACTATATGTGTATTTGAAAGCTAATGATTTTTAAAAGTTAATTTGTTTAATCAATTAAGATAGAGTAGGCATCTGTAGAGTCAAATTAGTTTCAATACTTTTACCTATGTTATAAGTAGGGCTGGTGACTTAGAGCATTTCAAAAATTGTTTGGTCTAATATTGAGACGCTGAATGTCGTGTAAATTTATTGTAGGTATCAACAGTATCACAGGGATAGTTTTTGTTGCTGGGAAGTGATTCCACTATGCCTCCATATCTAAATTTCTAATTATATACATTGTTTAATGCTGAGAAAAACAAACCCGAATATCTATTATTATTGATGTACTTGGGATGACTAAAACAAATTTATAATAAATGCTTTAAATCTCGAGTCCGGATTTTAAGTCATAATGATTCCCTTATTATTATAACTATTATAATATTATACATCGTAAGTTCTAATACAAATTGTACGCATTGTAAAATATTGTTTTTCAAAAACTTATTATTAAATGAATCATTTAGAAACAGTTGTAGTTATTGTCAAAAAAATTTATGTGAATATAATTTATAATTTATTTGTGGTTTGCATTATTTGGCTATTCGCTAATGACCACGCAAATTGAACATATGTGAAAAACAAACTGAATGTTGGTGACACAGACGCCGCAATAGTTAATGTATGTATTTATTTAAATTCATATTTATTTAGAACAAGTTGCCGTCTTGTTAAATGTCGCTTATGTCACTCATCATAAATTGTCGATAACTCTTATCACTCAGTTATCACTGTACGGTAAAAAAGCATAATAATAATATTCAAAATTTCGTGGGATGTATATTCTATAATTCAGTTTATTGATTAAACAGTAAACTTATGACGGGTCTTTAACCTGAATTACAGTTAAACAATTGTTAGGTCCAATGAGACTTGTCGCCTCATTAATGGGTTTTTATTTTTGTATTTAGTTCTTAGTCAAATTTTAAAAAATAACAAAGTTCTAATCATTAATATTGTATGGAATTTAGATTGAAGGCAAAATCTAGATAATTAACAATGATTTAATATAAATTTAAAAGTGCTCGAGTATATACATTCAAGACTATGACGCTCGTTTTCTGTAGAACACTTTTGCTGCCAACCTATGTGGAGGGGTATGTTGGAGAATGAATCTTAAAATACTATTAATAGATTTCTATCCGCCACCACTGTCTTCAACGTAGTCCCTACAACATTTAGTCTTGGACACATCACATTATTATTTTTCAGACACTATACGATATTTCGATTTATTATTTTCGGGAATTTCTCTTGCATATTAATATTAATTTGCCCTCAATTTTCGTCACTGACATTTGCTCCACATTTTTTACAGCCTGTAGTGTGTGATTTACAATAGTATTATGTATCGTTCAAACGAAACGAAAAACAAAAATTCTATATATTTTACGCATTAAAAAATTGTTTGAAGTTTTCTGTGTTTAAATGAGGGTTTTCAAAAATATTCTATTTTGAGTTATCAACAAAGGAAAAATCAAACTGTGTATTTTACACTTTGTGCATAATACTAACAAGGTATGTAAATAATCATGTCAATTCTCTTTTTAGTAGAATTTAAGAATTAATACATTCTAGATACATCATAGTATATTTTTTTAATATACATAAGTAGAATTCTTCAATGCCAGAAATTATTGTTTTGATATAGATATGGATTTAATAGAAGAAAGATAAACATTTTTCTTGAAATTATTTATAAACTATATATAATTCCTTTATCATTTATAAATAGTTTAGATTCGACAATTTTAAACTAAATTTAAGTTGTATTATCAGTTAATTTTGTGTTATTACATTGTTTACAAGTATTTTGAATACAATATTTTTAACATAAAAAACTTTTAATTATCGTTTATTTTATTATACAGTTTATATGAAATTAACTTTATTTAAAATATGATTTTTCATTATTTGTTAGTCCAGTGAATACTAAAACTTAGATTATATGGGGTTATGATGGAGAAAGGGGTCACATGGATAAATCAATATCACAAATGATCTAGACTTGTTCATTTTATTTAATAAATTACTTTCATGTACAAATATTTTATGTTAAATATGTACATATATGTATATATATTTTCATATGAAGTTATTAGCATTTGGACTATGAAGCCTTTCAAATCTTATTACGTATTTATAGAACAGTCTATATATTGTTACATGCTTGTGTGTAGTTCTGTTAATCAAAGTTCTAGTAGTAAGTAATTTATTTCTAAGATGTTCAATCAGTAATGGTTATAGTGGGGGTCATATATGGTTTTTATAACAATTTATTATTTTTTCAAATATATTAAGAAAGAATTGGTGAAATTACATAAGTCATTCAAAGAAAAATTAAATAAAATCCTTTAAAATGTTCTGTGATTTGTATTTTTGTATTAAATAGATTTGTCTTTTAATTTATATTAAATAATATACTTTTCTATAAGTTGTCTCATACAAAAAACTGGCTCCATCATTGACTTTCCAGGGAAAAAACTGAATTGGTTCTTTGTTACTAATGTTACTACTTTTATTCTTTTGTCTCTTACCTTTTCTAAAATTTCTATACTATGACTTATAAGCTTTATGATTCTATATTTCCACACTCCTGTATGTCCCTATACCTTTAAATATCTGCACCACAATACTATTCCTTCATTTTTTTGGCATTTTCGATATTAATAAGAGTTTGTTAAAAATATTCTACAACCACCTTATGCACAATACCTCCTAATATTTTCCATACTTCTATTGGCACTTAATATGGTCCTACTGCTTTATTCTTTTTCATTGATGCCACAGACTCCCATACATTTTTCTCACTAATTAAATCTACCAGTCCATTTTTCCACAAGATATCCTCTATTGTCTCTCTTGCTTTTCATATAAATATTATAATTATAATAGCTTGAGAAAAAAAAGGTTTTAATGCAAAATAGATGATATATATATCAGTAAATTTTCATAGTTAACTTGCTATATAATAAATGTAAAAATTTAATTTGGAATGTAAAAGATAAATATTTAATTTTTTATATATTTATTATATTAAATATTTTTCAAAAAAAAAAAATACATTAAAACCTTTTTAATAAAAAATGTGATAAAATATTGTTAGTTGTGTGAATAAACCTCATGTTATATGTTTTATGAAAAGTAATAGGTTTCACATTTATTGCTGTTAAAATAAAAATTTAGTTTTTAACCATTAGATAATTTTTCCATGACATTTTTTTGTGATACTTATACGTAAACAAAAGTAAAGTATATACATTTTTACAAAAAAAATTGCTTATAATACAATCTCATATTTTATAAAAATTAGTATAAAAATAATATATTAATATTTTTTATTTATATATTGTTTTTAACAATTGACATGTTTCCTTGCTTATTGTTATTGAACAGTCTGTATCACTACATTTATAATTAACTTCTGAATAATTTCTACATTTTTGGATTTCGATTAGTTACTGTTTTTACAATCATTCACAATATTCACCAGTTTAGTTTATTTTAGTATTATTGTTGAAAAATAATTGAGAGAATTGTTTCATTAAAAACAAGCATATTATGCTTATTTGGAAATTTTAGATTACTTAGGTATACTTTAAATTTAGATCATTCAATATCTTGTGAAAGTTTTTTTTTGGGCCCCTAAAATTAATATTCATTCATGTTATTCATTCATGCATATGTTGAATATCTTTCAATTAAATTGATGATTATTAAAAAATAGTCTAATCTTAAAATAGCATATCATATTTTTCTACTTTCATGTACCAATAGAATTTAAAGCTAGTCTTATGTTATTATTTTTTTATTGAAAAAGTAAATTAACTTAAAAGACCCAAAAATGATTTAGAGGAATTTATGTTATTTTTTTAAAATAACTATTAATAGATTTATACTTTTTGTTTTTTATTTTATATGTAATGTTTAATTTTTGTAATAATTTATTTATAAATGTGTTTAGACAAAATAAAAATGGTTGTACCAGAAAATGGAGTTATGTGTGATAATATTATGCGAGGCATTGAGAAAGATGGTGGTGGAATACATTTACATAACCGTAAACAAAAACTTAAACAAAAGTAAGTTCAATAAAATTACACTTATCAAATTATTTGACTTAACTAAATATGAGTTAATATAATTAAATATTTCAGTTAATGTAATATGTGCCATTTTTGTAAAATCAATTGTTAAATATTATTAAAGTAATGAAAAAAATTATTCATTAAAATTAATATTTATTTTTAGGTTTGATATATTGAAAAAACTTGGAGAAGGTTCATGTGGAAAAGTTCAATTAGGTATTTGTAAAGAAACAGAACAACTAGTAAGTGAAACATTTTTGGTGTTTTAAATTTAATGAGATTTGATTTGATAAATATAATGATGTTAATTTAATTATATTTGTGTTTAAAGGTTGCTATCAAAACAATAAGAAAACGGAAAATTGAGACTGAAGCTGATCTAATAAGAATAAGACGTGAAATACAGATAATGTCATCTGTGAGACACCCTAATATTATTCATATATATGAAGGTAATAAATATATATATATATTTAAATAACGTAAATATTTTTATTTTTCTTGTCTACTTCAACTTAATTTATGATTTGTGATAATCATTTATTAAAATTTTTGACTAAGTAATAATTGTTCTTATAAAAATTTTTATAATTCTTTTAAGTATTTGAAAACCGAGAAAAGATAGTACTTGTTATGGAGTATGCTGCTGGTGGAGAATTATATGATTTTCTAAGTGAAAAAAAAGTACTTACTGAAGAAGAGGCTAGGAGAATATTTAGACAAATTGCAATAGCTATATTTTATTGTCATAAAGTATTTATAAAATTGTTTAAGACATTTTTAAAATTAATTTTAATGTAATTATGATACTTTGTAGCATAATATCTGTCATCGTGATCTCAAGCTAGAAAATATATTGTTAGATGAACAAGGAAATGCTAAAGTAAATATAAGACTAATATTTTTGTTTTGTGTTAATTATATTTTCTCATTGTATTTTAAATTTACAGATAGCTGATTTTGGCTTATCAAATGTTTTTAATCATAAAGCACTTTTATCAACTTATTGTGGTAGTCCATTATATGCATCACCAGAAATTGTTACTGGAACACCGTATCATGGACCTGAGGTTGATTGTTGGTATGTTATTATTAATTTACATAAGTTATTTGATTATAATGATATACATATAGGCTAAGATAATTCATAATTTTGAAATAAAACTATTTTAATTACTGTATAGGTCACTTGGAGTTCTGCTATATACACTAGTTTATGGTACTATGCCATTTGATGGATCAAATTTTAAGCGTCTAGTTCGCCAAATTTCTCAAGGAGAATACTATGAACCAAAAAAGCCATCAAGTAATTTTAAAAAAATTTTTTATTTTTGATGTAGCATAATTCTTTATTATAAATAATAATCAATAATTAATTATTTTTACTATATGGTGTTTTTATTTAGGAGCATCACCTTTAATTGCTCAAATGATGACTGTTAATCCAAATTCACGAGCTGATATTCATAAAATTTGTTCACATGAATGGTTAAATGAAGGTTTTTCAGAAAAGCAGCAATGCTTTTTCGTTGCTGAAGAAATGGCTTCTTCAACTCCAGTACGGTTAGATTTACTACTTTCTTTAGCACCATCAGCTAAAGAAACCAATAATAATCTTACATTACCAGACACTCAAAGTAATGTTGGTGGAAATGAAAATGGTCCAATAAGATCTCAAAGTTTAGGCAATATATCACCTTCTCGTATATCTAATGTAATTACTGAGATACCTGGTATGTATTTCAAAGAAATTGTATATCAACTTTTAAATATATAATAGTTGCATACATTTTTTTTAAATTTTAGTAGAGAAAAAACCGAAAAAGACTAAAAAAAGGGATCGTTCAGTTAGTCGCTCAAAAAAACAAAGCCAGACTACTAATAAAGTTGAACAAGATATTAAAACATTACTTCCTGAACAGTCTTCCTTGCCTGTAGCTAATAATGCAGATTCTGAAGAGTGTTGCTTGGCTGTAGCTAATAATGCAGTTCCAGAAGAATCTTCTTTATCTATAGTTAATAATGCAGTTCTTGATAAACTTTCCTTGCCTGTAGTTACTAATAAAATTTCAGAAGAAGTTCAACCTGTGTTAGAACAAAATAAAGGTACTGAACGTGATATTAAGCCTTATGGTGAACGTGGACGTCGGCGATCAAGTAGAGTTCTAGAAGCTGTTGAAAAATTAGATTTAATTGAATCTATGTCTAGAAATAATATAGATCAAAAAAGACGTAGTTCCCTTGGTAGTGGATCATCTAATAGTTCTAAAAAAAGCATAACATCAAATAGCTCTTTAACAAAACATGAACCTGAATTTAGTCTTGAATCAACAGTTGGACTTAATAAATTAGCCGAATGTGCCTTAAAAGATGAACCACTTGTTTGTGGAATAAAAGTGAATAAAAATGATTTTAAAAATCTACCCGATGATTTAAAAAAGAGTTTAAATGCCATTAGGGTAATATATTTGCATTTGTATTTGTTTTATTAATAACACAATTATAATTTAGCTGCTAAACTTACTAAATAAGTTATTTTTTAGATTATTGGAGATTCAATATCTGATAATAATAATATAAATGCAGTACCGGAGTCTAAAAGAAAAACATCAAGAGCAGAAATAAAATTAGCTAGACCCGAGTAATTATATTTTATGAAATCAATTTTTAAATAAAAAAATATTTATTGTGTTTTGACATAGGCTACCCAAGAGTACTATTAATAAAGAGCAGAAAATTGATGAAAATGAAACTAGTGATTCTAATTACAAAACTGAAGTCAAACATTTTGTTCAAGTACCTAAACAATCTCGACGTGCTGAAGTATCTATCCCTATTTCAGCATCAACTACGGGAGTATCAACATCACCTTTACCACCCAGGTATATTTTTTAATGGTTATTTCAATTTAATATTTTTTATAGTAAAAAGAGACATCAATGATTATTCTGTATTATAAATAGAAAGCATGTTTATATACATATATAAATTGTTAAGTTATTCACAACACTTTATCAGCCAGTAAACATTTTTATTAATAAGCTTGAAAACTTAGTAATGTGATCTAACTAGTGATATAGTGTTGGTGTGATATGGGGGTATATTCCCTCTAAAGCAAAAGATATTTCTACACTATTGTATATTCCAACAAATTTGCACAAACTTGGATCTTTTTTAAATGGCTCAAACAAAATTTATGAATGCATATAAATCTGCTTAGAATATTTTGAAATTAATGTTTTCAGTTCTTTCTTTTTCAATTAAAATGCATAGATTTAGTCAAGTTTAAATGTATTGTTAATATTATGCATCATGCTAAATAACTTATAATAATATTCCATTCTTTATGTGAATAATATTATTTGTTATTATAATATAATTTATAGACCTATTACAAGACAAAGTAGTCAAACTCGTGAACATATTATTCCTATACGCTTTGAATCTGAGGATAAATCAAAAGCTAAGCCTATTCAAAGAACTACTTCTATTACTAGCAGTACAAAAACTAGTGGTAGTAATTTATCTAGACAAAGTACAATGGAATCAGACAGTAATAGTAGTATCGTTAGCATGGGTGGAGAACCAATAAGAAAATCTCCTCGTGAAGTTATTATACCTATTGCTGTTGAAGGTGGTGGTTTTGTTACACCAAGTGAAAATACAATATCTAGAATTAGGTAATTAAAATTAATTAATGTAAATTAAGAATAATTTTATATTTAAATGATTTAAAATCTTATAGTTCTTCTAATGATAATATTGATGAAGTGGGAGCACCGGGTGGACCTGGAAGATGTTTCACTTTACGTAGTACTCGAAGGCAAAAACCATTAGCTAAAAGCTTACAACCTGCTGATAGTATAAGTTCTGATGAAGAAGATGACAGTTTTGAAATTTTAACAGCTGAAAATCTATTTTCTACATTACTGTCTAGGGTATTTAAAATAATTATTTTGTAAAAAATTTATTGTTTTAATTTAAAATTTTTTTCTTAAAGGTGCGTGATTTAACGAATCGTTTGAGTACTGATGAATCTAGATCATCTGATTTTCCTAGATCATTCTTTAATCACCATCGTTCTATATTTGATCATCAAACACCATTGTAAGAATTTGTAACGCTTAATTACTTGTATTTTGAATTTTATAGTTTTGTGTTATCTTTTTCCCTATATATAGACGTCGTTTAACTGAAACTAGATCTTTTAATCGTGCTGAAAATGCTCCATGGCGTAGAAGTTTTGTTTCTACCACATCGCCACAAAAATTTCAACCAACTGATGGATTTTCTAGAGGTAATTATCAAAATTGAAAAATAGGCTATTTTTAAATTATTATTATTTTTTATATTATTTATTCTAAATACAGTAAGAAATCGCTTATTAGAAATATAATAAATCTAAGTGAACTTATTAATTATATTTTGTATTTGTAATAAAATAAAATTTTAAAAATAATTTATTTTTTTTTAAATTTGAAATGGCACATAGAGTTAAAAAGATAAAGTAACAAAAAATTTATTCCAAAATAATTAAATTTAAAAATTAAAAAAATGTTTTATTTTTAGTGCGGTTTAGGGAATCTGTAATAAAATATCACTTTGATTAAAAAAATTCACTTTTTTCTGATGTGTTACTTTAAATCCTTAAGTATTTAATCAGGGGTGGATTGAAGGGTATTTGGTTCACTGAATTAAAAAAAAAGTCAGCCTGCATTGCTATGTTTTCTAGCTTAGAAAATTATATTTTTTTAAATAAATTTAATTATTTGAGGCAAATTTGATAATTTGGGCAAACATTGGGGAGTCCCAATGTTACAATCCCTAAATTTTTTGTAGTTACCAACCCTATGTTTAATTAATTTAATAAACATTTACCAATTTATAAAATAATTATATATATGTTTGTGTAACTTTCTGTTGTGGTTTTTAAAAAATAATACATTTTTTTTTTTCAAGTCAAATATCGAAATAATGTAAAAATAATAATTTTAATAATCATGGTCACGGCTCCATCTCACTTTTCGTCTAGCTGTTTGACCGCTTTTTGATTGTAGGTAAAATTATCACTGGCCGTCTGTTGCTATAGCAAGGTGGACCAGTCTGCCCTAGCTCATTATGTCTTAATTAGTACTTAAATTATTATTAAGTCTTGATGTCATATTTTATTTATTTAGCCTTAAAATATATTCTAAATCAAATTTCATGACTAAAATTAGAAGAAATAATTGAATACTAAATATTTTATTTTAGTAACAATATTAAAAACTCAGGTTTTTTTATGTTAAAAAAAAATATATAAATTATAATTAAGTAAAATAAATCTAAATGAAATAAAAAAAAAATTTTATTGTAACCACGTAAAAAGATACAGGTGAGGCATCTAAATAAAGTAACTACCTTTTTTGAAAATAGGATAATTTAGTGAAATATGTACCAAAATTTCATTTTTTTTTTTTTTATTCTCAAAGATCTTTGATTTAATAGTTTGAATATTACATCTAGTGTATGATCAAGTTATGAGTTTCGGCAGACAATTATCCACTCATTTATTTGAAGATTAATTGGCCTCAAACAATGATTTGTGATTTTTGATTCCCTAAAAAAGTCTAGAGGAATAAGATTTTAAGAACTTAAAAGGATAATTAAATGTAAAATCAGTGAAATCAACAGAATCGTCATTGGTTCTTCCAGAACTCCAAAGGTGACCATATGCTGAATATAATATTCGACTATTAAATAGAAAATTTTTAAGAATGTAAATGTATATTTTTGAAATTTGGTTTATTTTTCACTGAGTTATTATCTTATTTTCAAACAGATTGTTACTTATGACTTAGCTTTAATAGTGTAATTCTTATTTTACAGGATAGAGTTTATTTATTTAGTTACATTTTGACTATTCTTGGTTTATTGATTATTTCCAGTTAGCGATTACATACTGTATAATATATGTAATTATACATGTATTTTTTTAAATAATGGTTGGAAATAGCCACAGTATAAGTGCTATTCTATTTAGATTTTAAAGAAAGAACTAATAAATCATTCTTCTAATCCTTAGGGTTACATTTATAGTTAATTCCTATGAATTAGTTGTACTTAAGCAATCTAAATAACATGATTAAGAATAGTTTCAGTAAACTTATTCATAAGAATTAACTATAAATACGACCTTTAACTTTATGATGATTATATTTTTTTCAAAGTATTATTTAAAAACTTAGCCTACCCTTTTAAAATTGTGCTTATGACTACAAAATTAATTTGTGTTATTTTTTGGCAGTAGCATAGAATTTTAATGTTGTGTAGGATTTCTTATAACATTTTATGTTATTTTTTTAAAACATAATTTAGATATCAAATATTAAATGCTAAAACAAATATTTAATTCTTAAAATTGAATATAATAAAAATCTAAAAATGTTAAACAAATTTTTTTCATATTGTAAAATTAATATAATATTACATAAAATAAATGTTTTTATCTTAGCATCATAAAAGTAAAAATAAATCACTATGATTTTATTACAATTTTAATTTTCTAAAATTGTTATTTAAAATTTCTCAATATGTAATAGTAATATTATGATTTTCTTATAATGTTATAAATTTTATACTTTGTAGGGAAGTTTATTCATGTTTTAATAAGTTCTGTAAAGAAAAATTTTTAATTTTATAGATTACAAAAATCACTATTTGATATAACTATTTTTATGTGTCATGCTTTTATTATTAATTACATAATTTATGAAAAAGTTCTATCACAGCTTATAATTTTTCTAAAATATTTATTATCTAGTTTTATATTTCATTTGTTTGGCACGATTAATAAATTAGATGGTATAGTTTTGTGTTCTAATAACAGTAATAAATGGATGGGCGAATTTTCAAAATACATTTTTTGGCTGTTCAGAACAGCTCAAAAATATAAAATTTACAATAATGATTTGTTGGAAATGAATTATTTGTGCAAAATGTTTGATAATTCCTTAGTGTTGTGAGTTATTATGATGCTAAAATTTTTCCATGATATGTAATAAAAACATTTTTAATGGTATTATTTCAACATAAAAAGTAAATAATAATAATATATTAAAAAAATCATTTATCTAGCTTTAAAAATTTAAGGTCTATATTAAATATAAAATATGATTATAAGTATGATAAATAAGTTTTTTTATGACAATAATACAGTATTTGACATATTATATGCTTACCAAAATATATCTTAAATGATAAGATTGTGTTAGAAAATTGCATGTGTGTGTTTATTTATTTTGTTGCAGCCAATGTGACGGTGCATGTGCCACGCGTCGTACAAGACGAGTAAATAACGATACTTCCTTCTGCCTGTCCGTAATTTAAACCAAAACAAAATTATACACATAACCTATGCCAAAGATATAGGTACGAAACTGTCTCTCACTCTCACTCACATTCTCATTTTTAGTGTTACTAACAAAGTAAATTTTCAAGGAAATAAAGATAAAAATATAGCACTAATGTTATTTGAAGTCTTTGCCGTCACATGTTAAAAAAATTAATAAAAAAATAATGCATTGATCGTTTACTAAAGTAACTAAAGCTTAACTTTATTAACTTGTATAATAAATAAAAAAAAATGTTTTAATTGTATGTTTTTATTTTATCTTGTTTATAAGTAATAATTAGATATTTCTTTAGAGTTATAAGAAAGGGGTTTATCATATTGTAATTTTTTTAGTAGAAGGTTTAATGAATAACTTAATTCTCTTATTTTTGATGTTTTTTTGCTATTAACAATAGTGCTATATTTTATTGATAAATTTCATAATTTTTTTTTATGCTTTTATGTTTATATCAATACATTTTTCTTTACAGACTTGGATCAAAATAACATTAACAAAAATATTACTCCAATGAAACCTCCTCTTTACAAACAAGTTCTTCCTCGTTTTATAGAAACTAATAAAGAATTATCAAAAATACCAAGACATACCTTACTATGTAACATTACTGACTCTAAAGAACGCCAAAATAGAGTTGATCGAATACTTGAAAAATATCGCAGACATACTACTAGCCCAGTATTAAGTAAACTTTCAAGATCAATAAGTTGTCAAGATAAATCTTCTAAAATGTATGATTTAACAAAAGCAAAAACAACAACAAATTCACAATATAATAACTTAAAATCAAATAATATTGGGGCAAGAAGTGTTAGCCCATATGCTCCAGTCAATCATACAGATAAAACACAAACACGTCAGTTGAACTGTAATAGTTATTTACCACAATCTAATTCGTTGAAATATCCCTCTGGAAATAGAGCTCGGTCTTTGTCATCAACATCAATTACAAGTTCAAGCCCAAATGTGTCTAAAACATTAGTCAAATCTAATAGCACTTTGGATAATAGTGAGGATGAAATATCTGAATCATCAAGTACTAAAACTACCGTATCAAAGGAAGGTAATCAGTCATCATTAATTTTTCCTATAGATTGGGCACCTAATAGTAGATGTGAAGAAACTGTAAGTGATAGAATTAGACGACGTAGTTTTTATGTTAAATTAACTTAAAACTATGATCAATTTTTGCGATATAGGTTACCATTTAAGTTTACCATTAATTTTGTATTTATTGATATAATGTTATATTTATAGTTTGGTGTAATTTATACTTTAAAAGCAAAAAATAACAATTAATTTATGCATTGTAGACAGATGTGTAATAATAGATTATTATAAATTTTACTGAAAATCATTTAATTTTTACAACTAAGTTGATTGTGTAATGATAATTTAATAAATTGTAACATTTCACTTAATGGTTTGCTATGAAATAAAAAATCATATTGAGTATCTTCTTTTCAAATAAAATATTTAAAATTATACTTTTGCTAAAATAATGTAGGTAAAGTTATAAATTTATGTTATATTTACGTTAATATTAATGTATTAAAATAATAATTAAGATTTTGATGATTTGTGAAACTATTAAAAAAATCTTTTTTTTTTATTAATTATCACTTAAGAAATAATAGTTTTAAATATATTTTCTATATATTTCACAGATGACAATTATTTTAAGTAGTATTTGTTTATTAAAAAATATATTTACATTTTTTTCTAATTTTTAGACAATAAAATAAGTACAATTATACTTTCTTTAAATGCTAACTATTGTACGATTTAGTACTATTAATGTAGATTATGTACCTTGATTATTTTTATATATTTAGTGGTTCGCTTATTTTAAACATAAAATAACAAAAATAATATATTTTTTAGTATAAATATTATTTACAATTTTATACAATAATTACACAAATAATATAACACAGTGCTTTTACTATTTATTATTCTGGACTGCAGTATAATCAATTAAATTGTATATTTATAAACATCAGGATGTATTATACTTCAGTTATACGAACAATATTCACATTTATTCGTTTGTACATGGTATCATCCTAAAGGAAAGTCCAGCTTCTAAAGGTGCGGCTGTCCTAGGTGGACAAAGTTTAAGCCTAAAAATTATTAAAAATATGCATTACTATTTATAAACAAGGTACATAAAAATGATATTATATAAATAAAATAATAAAATGTATGTTTTGTATTTGCTCGTTATCATATGAAACTATATGTTATTTCACAACCTTTACGCCTNACATATGAAACTATGTTATTTCACAACCTTTACGCCTATGAAAAATAGTCACTTAGATAAATTAAATATAAATTAGGCCGCGTCACATTAAGGGTGGGAATTTTCTGTAATGAGGACCTCGTTATACCACGAGACTTTTCTCCGTGGGAAAAATGTTGAAAAGCCTATAATTTAATTAGGTTTGAAAAAAGTGGTATATTTTGAGTTGTACTGCTTTCACGAATTTTTATATTATTTACACTTTTAATTATAATTTTTAAAAATAATTAACTTACTTTTGGCCGCTATTGAACTTTTCAATTACTAGTGACTCGATGTATACGACTGGGGCTTCGAATCGCCAAGTTAAAATGTTCATTGTAGTTGAATGATTCCACAAAAGCAAGACAGACTTAATTGAGTCTGCGAATGTGGATCCGAAAACCCGACGATGAACGCTACCGGGTTTGAAATACTGTTCTCTATGGTTACAGATAAAGAAAAATTGTCAAAAACTATTAATTTTTCATACTAAAATTTTAATACTCATAAATATCGAAAATTCAATGAATTACTTAAATACGTTTATCATTTTCGATTTTGATTTAGAACCTTCCAATTGTAATACAAAATTGCCTATTTCTCCGCCGTGATCTCTGCTCGCTTGAGAATCTGCCAACGTTATCGTCACTCGATAAAGATTTACTGAAAGTCATCGATATATATTTAATTATTACAAAGAATTCTTTCATTTTTACATACGTGTAATTAAAAAAATTTAATTCGTTAACATTTTTTAAAATATACATATTCTTTATTTCCAAAAACATTATTTTGCATGTTTCATCTATACTTATTCATTTAATAGTATTCCTAGTGAAGTTATTATAAAAATGTTTTTTATGTTAGGAATCGTCACTGTATTAAGTTACTGTCTTAAGGAATAGCTACTTTAGGGGCAAGTCATATTTTTTTCTATTAAATAGGAACTCAAAAAAATACTTTAAATATAAAACTGGAACCATATATGAACAAACCGAACAATGTTTACGGTTGTTGAACAAATTTGACTTGATAAAATTCTGGTACTCAAAAATATAAACATAAAAAAATATTTACTACCAAATCGAAATTGTATTTTAATCACGTTATCATTATCGAAATTTTCTATTTCTACTCGCCATTAAGTAGGACAACTTTTGATAAAAATCACGTTCCTGATCACATGCTAAAAAACGCGTAAGATTGAAATGTCGTACCAGGTCTTCATGAGGTATTGCGCAAAGAGTTTACATATGAATTGGTATTTTATAACAAATATCAAAATCTAGTACCAGGACTTTATAAGCATCATACGTCCAGGTGTCACGGGAAGTCATTCGGTGTTCAGTTAGCGATTTTCAAGTGGGCCACCAATTGGTGTCTACTAATGATGTTTATATAATTCGATAATCCGAATAATGATGACACCGGCCGATGATCCTCACGAGTTCCTGGTCCGAAAATGTTGATATGTTCATCTGAAAATCTGTACCGTCAAGTTTTAAGGTAACTTTTAAACGGCTGCCGTGAACTGGTCAGGTTTATGTACTGAAAATTACGAGAAAAAGTTAGGCGGTATTCGTCCAGTGACACAGACGAATTACAGTGTCCGATCACTAGGCTACCGTCAACTTGTTAACGCGTATTCCATATGCACCTTTTAGGTAGGTAGTGTTGGCCGAGAAAATAATAACGCACTGCGTCAGCTCTTTTTTACATTTTATTTATCAAGTTTTTGAGGACACTATTTTAATACTTATTTTAGCGTACGTTTATTATCAAATTACAATGTTATGCTCAGGATATTTTTATGGAGCCTGGAAAATCGCATTTTCCTTCCTATAAATCGCATTTTAAATAAGTAATTATTTTTATCGTGGGAATTTCAACACCTAACTTCTCCAGATCACGTCGTTTATTTCACGATTATGAACGTCCAGTAGACTTAATCAATTCATTTTGTTTAAAAGATTTTTTTAAGCAAATAAATATTTACCGCAAAACGGTGCTGTTTCACTGGTGATGGTGAATAATCTCAAATGAGGCATCGTGTTGGCGTCGCCGGCAGCAATCATAGGCGCGTGTCTTTTCCAATGACCTGTAGACCGCATACCCATTTCGGCGCATATTCTTCCTTCGGGATTCTAAAACGTCATTATATGAAATTAATTATGAACTTTATCAGTGCGATGCACTGCAAAATTACTTACCGATTCGCTGTAACACGAGAAACATTCTCCTTTCAAGAAGTCTTCGTACGAATCACATTCAATAGCTATAAAATTGCAGCTTGGTTTAATGGATTCAGTGAAGAACTCGTGAGCTCTGACGTGGTTGCAAGCCAAAAATCTTCTCATTCCCTGGTAAAAACTTCCGTTTTCACTGTTTATGTAATTCATCATGCCTTGATCGCAACCAGGTTGATTTTCTCCTCCGTTAGGATAGAAATCCAGGTGACCAATTGGCTGACTCATTCCCAAACCTTTTAAATGAGAATACATAAATTTATGAAGACTGTTGATTTTTCGTAGAGTCAACCTTTATATATTAAAGTAGAAGCGCAGGTACAGATTGTTTATTGGGGTTTTTAATACATCGACTATCCATATTATTATTTTTAATATAATTTGACTACATGTAGACAAAGATTTTTTAACGGGAATCTCTCTTTCTAATGTTCTTCTAGTAACGCAACAGTGTTTAAAAATAAAGTTTTTTTTTATGCGAGTACTTGAAACAATATTATTGACTTATATAAAAGGTATTTATTAAAAAAAAAGTAAATTATGATTTCTTATAAAAGAAAAATACTTTTTTAAAGTTAAAGTAAATACTATTGTTGTCTACGTCGAGATGCATAACAATAAAAATAACAAAACAATATCGCAACAGTAGTTTTTAATCGGCTGTAGAGAAAATATAAATGAGTTTCTTAAATTCTTTTTGATGTTATTTACAAACATTTTCTGACTGAAGACGTTATTAATTGTTTTCGATGTTTACCAAGTGTAAAAAAGAAGTTTATATATTTCTATTTGTTTATAGAAGTTATTTTTACAACAGACTTCCTACTGTTGGATTTCTATTAAGCTGAAACATGACGTATTGTTAGTTTTTCGAGCAATTCACAAACTTACCCAATTCCCCGCCTTTGATAAATGGTTGCGAGTCCGTGTGTATGATATCTACATAAAGTGCGTCTGAAGGGTCCAAACGAATCATTGGATCAGTTTGGCTGAAATGTGGCTCGGCCGGATCCAATCCAGTTATTCGGCCTAAAGTTATACCGAAATTGGTCTGTAAAATGCTACCAACGTATCCGGACAGATGTGAACCCAAACTGTGACCAATTAGATGGACATTAGCTACGTTCAAGCCCAGTTCTTTCTAAATTATTAACCACCGCGAAATTTAATTTAAAAAAAAATTAATAGTTTTCGTGTGATCGTTAAAGTTTGATCACTAGAAAACTTACCCTTAAAGTATTGATGAGATGAGCGGTGATTCTTCCCACAAGTCGAATATTTGCTACCGCTTGAGTGTATGGCGGACTAGATCCACCTTCCCAGTCAATGAGAATTACATTGGCCTCGTTGCGGCTTAATATCTGGTTGCTGATCTCTTTTAACCACGATCGCTGTCCGCCTTCCAAGAACCCGTGCGTAACGAAGTAGGTAGGCATTGATGGTATGAGGTTAGATTCGTAGATTGAATTTGGGTCTTTGTGGTATAGCCATTGACACTCGTCTTTATTGGTTCGCGTGTGCAAACAGTACTGGGGGTTCACTTTTTCCGGATGTTCTGGAAACGCGTTCGCCGGTCGGTCTTCCCACAAACCGGTCACCGAAAAACAACCGTATTCGCCGTAGCATTTTACTCCGACATCTAAACACATCAAAATATTTAATTGTTATTTCATTAATTATTGTATGGTATGGTATAACCAAACCGAAATAATTGATCTTTGACAACGTTTATTTAGCGATTATGAGTCAAAGCGACAATTTCCTTTTGAATTGATGTAGTTATGTGGATATTTTAAAAATTATTTGTTTGGTTTTAATTTTATATTCGTTGTTCGAATCTTTACTTTTTCATTAAAAACAAAATCGCTTAGATAATTCAGTATTATAAAACGACTTAAAATGAATACATAAAAAATTGTATGTAATATATTAAAAAAAAAAAATGTTCTTTTCGAGGCTATTTCTATTTGAAAATACTAATATTAATATTTGCAGTGTTGTACTTTTTAACAAAATTTCTTAATCTGCAAATCAGTCAACAATAGTGAAATAAATATAAATTTGCTGTTTGTCAGAACGAGTATTAAGTTTTTATTTGTTATTGTAGGAATATTATGCTGTAATAGTCCACAAGTACAATATTAGCTGATGTTTTTCATAGTGAAATAGCATTTTACTATTAGTAACCGAAGAGAACCTCAGAGATAAAAAGCAATAATTTTTTAGACTTTGTGCCATCACATTAGGCTGGTAAACTTCCGCCATCTCATGCTACCGCCAAATGTACACGAAGGTATTACGAGGTTTAAATTTAAATCGTACGATAACACAGCACATTTATTATTAACACATTTTGTTCTCAGCAATTGAAATTCGATATGTCGTGACATTGCATAATTAAATTTCCCGTTATTTGCTGAAATCCTAATGGAACGCGTGAATTATAAACGATAAGTGTTCAAAACTGTATTGGAGAACGCGCGGATCTTTTTATTTTTTTATCCGATAAGCCAATTTTATTATTTACCCGACGCGTTACTTGAAAATTGTTTATGGTCAAAGGCTAAAGTAGCGACAAGACGAGCAGCACGGAACTCACGATAACAGTGCGATTACACTAATCTATCGCTTGTTGGCAGCGAAAAAAAAATTCCTAGTGAAATACTAAAATTACGCGTGTTTTTTTCCGTGTGCGTTCAAAACGTTTGAACAATTAACGGTGTTTAACTTGATCGAAACAGCAACTGTCATCGTTAATAACGTTTGTTGACAGGTATATTTTTAGACGTTCTTTCACCGCCGTGTCGTTCAATTAGACGGTATACAATTGGTACTTACTGTCGCCTTCCAACGTCACGTTGTTCACGCTGTCCGTGTAATTGGCCGGGAACGTGATGTTATCAGTCTGCGCCAAATAGAGCATCGTTTGCAGCAGCAGACTTCCCGTGTGATTGAACATGTTGAATTATTCGGTAATTTAATGTTGAAAAATCGGACTGATTGAATATATTTCCCGCGAATAACTTTGCACTAGCCACTCGGAGTCGGACGAATAAACATTTACACATTCAAAACATTTATGCTGTCAGGCAAACGAATTGCGTTCATTGCGACGTCACGTCGATGCGCCAAAGTTTATTTTCGAGCAATTGTTTTATTTACTTTTCTAGAGAACAAATATTACACCGCACAATGGAAACGGCAAACGTTTGTAAGAGTGCTGTTGTAATTCTCTGCGATGGTGATCGCGCACCGGATGCTGAGCGCGGTCTGATCGACACGACGCACGTTTTGTACGTTTTGACGGCTAAAAGCCCAACGATTACTTAATTGCAGCCGAGCAAAGTTCAGCAAATGACATGGTCAGTCAGCGCGCTGGCATCGATCGCGTCAAATGCCGCTGACGGTTTTGTTTGTTTTTTCAAAACGAGTGTTTTGAACAACATGTTGTTCTCGGTAGGCCAATACACTTCATGTGACGCTCCAACGTAACAACTGCAAGTGGTCGGCACTCGCACGAAAAACACAACCGGACAACAGTTAACCGCGTTTTACATAGGCGATTTGTTTGTCGGTAATGAATTCCTTGAAATTAGTTCGGTTATTATTATTAAAATGGATTTCGTGCGACCACAAGGCAAAGTCCAACGAGTAAACGTACTTTATCGAACAATGTTGTTCTGTGTACTTTAAACCTTTCAAAAATCATCGAGTCGCTAAAATGTCCAATACTAGTGGTGTACTCGAGGGGAGGTGATATCGTCGCCCTCGAACAGGCGCCATACATAAATACTTTAAATGTTTTTAACGTATCTTTTCCAATTATTGTACGGCGACTAAGAAAAATAACTTATACATTAGGTTTATAAATAAAAACAATTTATTATGTAATTATAAGTCCATATTTTTCAATAAAACGGGTGACAACATTTTTTTCAAAACACCCTTGCCGAACAAACGTCGAAATCGGAATACTGTTATTATCTACTGTATTTTATAAAACCGAGAGAGAAGCATTTTATTAGACGAAATGCAAAAAAAAAACGCCATCAAATCAGTAACATTGTTTGTGTACGCCATTTTCCAATGTTCGTATATTTCCTTCTTTTGACCACTAGAACTTATCCGTTCGTATATTAGGCAATTTCAAACAATATATCATGGCACCGTTAGCATAAAAAAAAACAACCTCGAGAATTGTGACGATTTTGAAAAAAAAAAAAATTATCATTCTGTACTATAAAGAATTTAAATTCATAAAATTTATAGGCCGTTAAGTGTTTAAACATTTTTTTTATTCTTTATCTAAATAATAAATCAATATGTAGTCATGTTACTTAGCTCACTAGTCAAGGCTTCGATCTAATTTAACTGCAGTAGAATCTCATGAATAAAAAAAAAAAAACAACAAACTTGAGCAAGGCCAACCTGATCCAGAAACTTTATTTAATTTTCTAAATTCGATGAAATCAACTACTATACAATAATGTACTTGACTGGATGTTTTAATTTTAATAATTAATCGGTTTTGTCACAGATGGTGACTTACGCTTAATTGAAGTTCGTAAAAAAGGTCGGAAGATGTTATAAAATTTTTTTAACGCTGTAGTTTTTTACAAAATCACTTAATACATTTTAATACTATATTGATAATATTAATGTATCGATTATCAATATTCTTATGTTTAAAATTTCTTATAACCATTTATTATAATTATAATCTTTTATGGCAATGACATTTTTCAGTTATCAAATAACATTTTTTTTACCGATTATCTAATTTTTTTCGATAACTTGATTTTTTAACATATTCCTACGACTAAACTATTTTATTTAAAGGTTTTTAAAGAAGTTGTTCACCTTTATTATTTACAAAACAAACGAAAAATTAAAAAATAATTTTATAATTTTTGAATAATTTCTTATCTTTTTTTTTGTTCACAACATTTGTATGTTGTTTAATTAAAATTTACTCATAGACGTAATATTACATATTTTAATGAAACCAAAATAATGATTCAGCGAAAATAGACGTAAATGCTGACGATTTGTGAATACCATTTAGAAAAATTATGTACTAAAAGTCATACTTCAAATATAAAAAACCTTGACGTCACGTTAGATCGGAAAATAGGTATATACTTTTTTATCTGTGAATTTAATGAATCATTTACCGGAGTCTCAACTTGCGTTTCCTAATTACTGTACAATTTTATCAGTGACGTTATCCGTTATGAGATTCATTATTTAATCTTTTGTTACTATGGAATGTGTTGTACTAATATACTAATGAAATTATATCACATACGGATAAAATATATATTCTTAATACGAATTTTGATTTTAGTTTTTTGTGCGTATAATTATTTGCGGTGTAGCACATTTTACACAGATAATAATTTTATACATAGTAAATGAGTATTAAAGAAGCTACCGCATTCTTAGTATAGTCAGTGGCGGTCAAACGAGAGAGGTTTAGTGGGATGGATCCCCTCCTTTGTTGATATTTTTGACCAATTTATAAAGAAAAATTACATTATTTTGGACACTATATGAATATAATAGTTAAATTAAACATTTATTGAACATAATAATATGAAAAGTGTATTTCATAAATATCGAATGTTTGATTCTAATTTTGGTGGTTATCTATGCGTGTGTTAATTCAGTGGGATACTATTTTTGTAAAGATTTTTCATCCCCTCCCACTAAAAATCATTTGACTGCCACTGGGTACATTTAATGTAAAAAAATGAATCTTTATAATCTATATACATAAGTACACATTCATTTATCACAGAGTTCAAATTTCGACTTGAAAAAATATGTACAATATTCTTACAATAATAATGCACAAGTTTTTAAATATTTGTCTAACTAATAATATCTTTATAGTATAGATGTTAATTTATGAATAAATAACTCAATCCGTTTGGGAAAGTAAATGCAAAAATAAATTAAAACTATAACTATTAGGAATACCGTTTTCCAACACATACATTGCGTGTTTATCAACATTTATACGAACTAATTATTAATTAGTTTGTATACTTGTAATATTTCAATTGTATGTGTTAGTGTTAAATAAATAAATAAATTGATAAATAAAAAAATCAATATTTTCTAAATAAATTATTCGTTATCTCGACTGTCCAAGTCTCCAATAAAAAATTTCTCTATTTCCTGCAAAGTCTTGTTTTCGGTTTCTGGCATACAAGCATATAAATACAGTGTTCCTATTAGAGTAATTGCACCATAAGCAACAAAGAGTCCTGGTAAAGTAAGCCAAGCTTGTGAATCTAAAAATGTTTTGGTGAATACAAACGACATCAAGAATGCCATCGCTGCTGTCAGTCCACTAGCAATTCCACGACCTCTGTTGGAAATAAAATTCAAAATTATTTTTAACAAATTTTAAATCACAATTTACACAATTAGTTTGATTTAAATTTAGGTTTTTATGTTAAAATATTCAAGTATACTAAATTGCTTGTAAGTTATTAATAATATTTGTTTATTTATATAATATGTCAATAAAATGTTGACATACTAAATCATATTGCATTAACACTGATTAGGTAATGACTGAATTAAAAAGGTTACTCGCACGATTTTTATAACCGATGAGTGTGTATTTATAATTTTCAACATAATATTAGTTCAAANGATGAGTATGTATTTATAATTTTCAACATAATATTAGTTCAAAATCAATTTAATTTTTAAAACCAACGATAAAAACAAGGAATTGCATATGAATAAATAAATTTAAAAAAATTACTCTTATAGTTGAACATGCTAAGAGTTCGATTTGAAAAGTTCTTTTTAAGTTTGATATTTGAGCCCAACACAAAAGATTAGGTAATTGTCAGATAAATTTATATTTTCAATTTAAATATTAATACTATCAATATTTAAATATTAATACCTACGTACCTCGTACGTACGTACTAGTTAGTCTGTTAATATAACTTACATACATTTTAATTAAACTTCAAAAAAATATTTTAATAGAAATTTTGTGTTAATATATATTATAATAACACAAAATTTTAAAATCTACGTCATAGTAATTTACAACTATATTAATTGAACTAAAATTTTGTGAGCATTTTAATAAAAATTATAAATTAGCAATTATTTATAATTAAAAATTTTTTTTATCCGTTTAAACTTGTTATCAATCATTCAATTTTTAATTTTTTAAATTTCAAAAATAATCATCATCTTACCCTTAAATCCCCATTCTTATTAGCCTATAAAAAATAGCAAAATAAAAGTATATTTAGTAATGAATACTATTCTAGGTCTTTTATTTATCAAAATTTATCTCTCTATTAACGTTTTACCAATTTTACTTATAATAGAAATTTAGTTTACTGTAGACTAACTTGGTTGGATATATTTCGCTAACCAACATCCATGGCATAGGGAAAACGCCATAACCGGAAAAGAAGAACAATGTGTTCAGTAGTATCATAGGTATCCACGAGTTCTCAAAAGAGAAATACTTGACTGTTATCATATAAAATCCGATGCCCAACATCGAAAGTGCACAAAGAGTCATGGACATTAAGGTTATTGAACGTTTGCCAAACTTAGCAACAGTAAAGACATTTAGAAGTGTTCCGATCAGTGTTAAAATTGACGTATAAACCTAAAATGCAAACAAAATAAATTATCGTTATGATTAATCTGAACATAAAGTTTTTTCTGAGAACAATTTCTTAATAAATTAAAATTGTTTTATTAAATATGCTACAAGACATCAATAATTAATAGGAAATAAATTGTAGATGTGTATATCAATTGTAACGTATCGAAGGTCATCTAAGCAACATAATAGTAGACGATACTGCTGTAGGGTTTTAGCAGTCAATACATATTTTATGCAACCGTGAAGAAGTCAATAAATTAATCATTTTTACCAAAGTCCAGTGAGCACGACATGGTAATCCAATTTCTTCGAAGACGGAAATCAAATAAGGTTTGGCAGGAATGAATGTTGCAAAGTTCCAAAAGAAAAAGAATAGCATGATGAATATGAATGGCCGGTTGAGTTCTGAAGACCAGATTTGTTTTAATGCGTCCGTCCATGATATAATTTTTTTTATTTCGTAGTTTGGATCTCCTAAAAGTAAAAAAAAAAAAGTAATTGTTTGATCATTGATAAAAGTACACGTATAGTTGAAATGGAACTTTAAAATTTTTAAATTAACCAGTTCCTCTCGAATTTTAAATACAAATGGAAATCTTGTCTTACAACACAATGGAAATTGTATTGCTCGTAATGGCTAAAAATAATTAGATTTTTACCAATGGTTGCATCATCAGTCGTGTTAATCTGCAAGTACTTTACATAAGATAGCCGTCTTTGATCGCAACCGCAGTCACCATATGCTTCTGGGTCTGCACACTTATTGTACCCCGCGTACATGGACATGTCAGAGAATTCTTCTTCTACTTCATCTGTATTCACACAGCCTCTTAGATAAGCCAACGACTTTTTTGCTTCACTGGATCTATTTCTCGATAATAACCAAATTGGAGATTCAGTTGTCTGAAAACAAATGAAATTGTAAATAATTATCCTTATAGAATTGGATGACAAGAGTAAAGGTAGTTAAATTTTAAGAGAAATGTGTCAAGTATATGTTGTGGAGCAATTTTACACACACCAGTAAGGTAATAGCGACGAAGGAAATAATTGGTACTGACATATTAAGCATTGCTATGGTTCGCCATTGGATGTTTGTGGACATCAGATAAGCTATAAAAGAGCCCAACATGATGGTAAATGTGGACACTGATGACAACGGCCCTCTTAGTTTGGGCTCGATGGTCTCGCCGACATATGTAAGAATTGGCGCTTCGCTTAAGCCCATGCTAAGTCCTAGTGCTACACACGATATGTACAAATCAAACGGCGTAGTGGCTTTCCATAGTACGTACCAGCCTATTAGCTGAGGAACACTAACGGCGGCCATGCACCACTTGCGACCAATGATTTCTTGTAGCAGACCCGATAGCAGGCCGCCTGTGGGATGGCAAACTAATAATACACTACCGTACCATGATGCTTCTCTCGCAGATAATATAACAGCGTTATCACTATCCTTTTCATCATTAGTTGATAATAATGATCCGATGACAACTGTGGGTATGGCGAGAGACATGCCAAATCCAAGCATAATCACATTTTGCACGATAATCGTGCTTATCTGAAATTAATCATAAAATATGTAACTATAATTGACAGTATTGATTGAAATACGAAAAACAAATGTCACTTTGGTTAAAGCTCGTTATTTTGAAAAATGAGAAAATAGATTGTGACAAACAGTAAAAGTAAATGAGCATTTACACATTTAAATTTCTCTGCCAAGGAAATAGTTGCGCAAATTATTAAAATAATTTAAAGGTACGAATAAAAAAAAATCAACGAACAAAATTTATAATTTTGTAAAATAAAGTTTATTTATTTATTTCAAAAAAAAAAAAANTCTGCAAGTACTTTACATAAGATAGCCGTCTTTGATCGCAACCGCAGTCACCATATGCTTCTGGGTCTGCACACTTATTGTACCCCGCGTACATGGACATGTCAGAGAATTCTTCTTCTACTTCATCTGTATTCACACAGCCTCTTAGATAAGCCAACGACTTTTTTGCTTCACTGGATCTATTTCTCGATAATAACCAAATTGGAGATTCAGTTGTCTGAAAACAAATGAAATTGTAAATAATTATCTTTATAGAATTGGATGACAAGAGTAAAGGTAGTTAAATTTTAAGAGAAATGTGTCAAGTATATGTTGTGGAGCAATTTTACACACACCAGTAAGGTAATAGCGACGAAGGAAATAATTGGTACTGACATATTAAGCATTGCTATGGTTCGCCATTGGATGTTTGTGGACATCAGATAAGCTATAAAAGAGCCCAACATGATGGTAAATGTGGACACTGATGACAACGGCCCTCTTAGTTTGGGCTCGATGGTTTCGCCGACATATGTAAGAATTGGCGCTTCGCTTAAGCCCATGCTAAGTCCTAGTGCTACACACGATATGTACAAATCAAACGGCGTAGTGGCTTTCCATAGTACGTACCAGCCTATTAGCTGAGGAACACTAACGGCGGCCATGCACCACTTGCGACCAATGATTTCTTGTAGCAGACCCGATAGCAGGCCGCCTGTGGGATGGCAAACTAATAATACACTACCGTACCATGATGCTTCTCTCGCAGATAATATAACAGCGTTATCACTATCCTTTTCATCATTAGTTGATAATAATGATCCGATGACAACTGTGGGTATGGCGAGAGACATGCCAAATCCAAGCATAATCACATTTTGCACGATAATCGTGCTTATCTGAAATTAATCATAAAATATGTAACTATAATTGACAGTATTGATTGAAATACGAAAAACAAATGTCACTTTGGTTAAAGCTCGTTATTTTGAAAAATGAGAAAATAGATTGTGACAAACAGTAAAAGTAAATGAGCATTTACACATTTAAATTTCTCTGCCAAGGAAATAGTTGCGCAAATTATTAAAATAATTTAAAGGTACGAATAAAAAAAAATCAACGAACAAAATTTATAATTTTGTAAAATAAAGTTTATTTATTTATTTCAAAAAAAAAAAAAAAAATATTATAGTAATCTTAATATGGCTATCCCTAAATTATACTTTGTAACAAATTTTGTTTTTGTCACAGTGATAACGGATAAATTCAATTAAAAATAATTATCCTATTTGAAGCCATTTTTGATTATGATTATAATAATAAAAATGTTAGCAATGGTTTTCAGTGCATAATATTCTCCTTAGGCGTGAACAAGTTTACAAATCATTGCGGTTGTAAATCAATGCCATTAATCACATACGTTCGCTTTATGAGGTCTATACAACTCTAGTTTCTTTAATAATTGTATTGATGCTGAAAAAATGTCCTTGAAGTTTAGTAGTCTTCCTACTTTCTATATCAATGTTTTAGTAACGTTTAATCTAAGAACTTTGCTAATTGACGTCAAATGTAAAATATTGAATTATAGAGTTGACTAAAACTTGTATATTTGATCGCTTCGGACTAAAATAGCAGTGTTTATTGATTGCCGAATCTAACATTTAAAATTAGTAACAAAGTTTTGTTTATGAGCATATAAAATACGGAAAAAAAATTATTAGAAAAGAAATTTTTACTTTCGGTAGTTAATTTGACGTTTTCAAGTTCAAGGATGCCACTAGCCTGTAGCAACGATATATTAATTTTGAGAAGTCTTTTAGTATACTTAGGAATAAATTATAATAGTTTAAATTTAATTATGTTATTGTTAAAGAATTACTCATTTTAGGAAGTGATTGTCAAGCTTTCGTATTACTTAAAATTTTAAAAATAACTCAATGAAAAAAGTGGGTTATATAATTATAAATTTTTTGATTAAAAACTTAACAAATTATTCGACATCATATAAAATACATTTATTGAACAAATTTACTAGAACAATTAAATAATGTCTGAAAAAAGGACATATGTCAATTTTTTTTTTCAATTTTTTAAAATTATTAACCGCAGGGTCAATTATTGTCATAGTTTTCTTTATTTTGGCTTTCATTAAAAATAAATTAAGTATTTTGTTCTTGTGAGTACTAACACGTTGTTAATTGCCAGTTAATTTATAGGAATATGTCGAAATTTTAAATAGTTTCAAAATATTTTTTTTCCATTATATAAAAATAAAAACCTTAAGATTATATTAATTTTTGAGTTTATATTCTATGCTAAATTTATAGTTATTGATAGCACAATAATAAACTAGAAAATAATTAATTTAATAACAATTGATTTATATCAAAATTTGATTAAAAACAAAAAAATCAAGTAAATAAGTATACATACTTGAGCAAATGAAGACCTGAGAGAGTTATACTCAGATTTGTTTAACTCTGCATCAACCTTTGGTGAAGCAATATCTTCCATTTTTTATAAATAAATAATGCTAACTGAACAAAACGTTATATAGTAAGGATACTTTATTTCACAAAAACTATTTCAATATTCATTGTAGTTTTAATTGAAAAAAGTTATTCCAGGTTATGTAGCTACAGAGTTCGCTATGTATCTGTTACCGAACTGCGGCCAGTAATGAATTGATTGCACGTCTTTTCTTGCACCGCAACTGTTGCGATGAGATAGATCAAGGTGTTTCGGGTGGTCGTCAATGACCTTAAGTAGGATAGTTAAAGCTATACAAATTAATATCGCATCAATATATTCATTTAAATAATGCCTTATATGCTAGTTAAATATGAAATGTTCTAATTATTTCAACATACAGTAGAACTTTCATGAATGTTCAACTTAAAAAAAGGATTTTTATGCCGCATTTATAAAATATTAAAACGGTTGTTTGAAAAAAATAAACCATTATAATTTTTATTCTATTTTACTTCACAAATTTTAGAAAACAACTATCTTATTTATAAAAAGATTCTATTGTTGTTACCCAATGTTTTAGCTATGAAGAGAAACTGAGAAGTATTGATTATACTATAATGCGTATTTATTGTGGTTGTCATAAAATTTTTTTAAGTCTAACTGGAGCGATTTTGTTGATCGATCCATGGAAAGAACCCAAGTCATATTTAGTTGAAGTCGTTTTCTTTAAAAATTGATAAAATTCCTCTAATTTTTTTTATTATGGAAATTTGCCAAAAAATTTAGTATCGTGTAAACCAGAAATTTTTTTTTGCTACTTGAAATTGATATAATTTTTTTTTAAAAAATCATGGATATTTACCAAATTCATATCAACAATGAGCTTTCTTTTGATATGTGTTTTATAAAAATCCAATTAATAATCTTAGTTAAAAATCAGATTGAACGGATCACCCACGTACACTAAAACACAATTTATCTGGCAACTTTTAACCTATATGAAATTTAAGATTTTAAAATGTATTAAAAGTTAAAAAATGTGAATCAATCAATGGTTTATTATGAAATCAGCCAATAAAGAAGAAAAATGCACAATTTTTTCTAATTATTGTCTACTAATTGATTTTTTATGCAAATAAACAGTCTAAAATAGAGATTAATCTATTTTTTGAAGCGTTTTATGATAGTTATATAAATTACTGTCTAATAACAAATCTATTCTTGTCCCAACTATATGGTTTTTTTGTTTTTAATTTATTAGTAAATATACTTAATAGGAGTTTAGAATAGGCAATAATATTTCTTAAAATACTATTAATTATTTTATTATACTATATTTATAAATTCTTTTACGTTATTTTCAATGTAGTAGTTATTTTCTATATGTTAGCATAAAAACAGTAATGTTATGGATTTATAAATCTCTAACGCGTACAATTTTAAAAGGGTACAGGATGTATTTGATATGAGGGTAGTCAGCTCTCTTCCTCCAAAAAGGATATATTGTTATCTTGACCGTTAAATCTATAATCATTTTTTTATTTTATTTTAATAATGAAATTTTGGTTTCATAAAAAATAATTCTTCTTTTTTCTTTTTTTCTCGTTTTTATTCCAACTACTAGGGGTAGGCCACCCCTATCTTTAACTTCCACTTGACATGATCTCCCATATCATCTTTGCACACATCAACAGTCATTATTGCATTCAATAACATTCCTCCATTTCTTTTTTGGTTTTCCTTAACCTCTTCGTTCTTTAATATTCATCTTCATAATTGTTCATACAACTGCTGATCCCCCTTTCCTCATAATATGACCAAAACATTTAAGTCTATTTTTTCTCATATTATCTACAATGAACTCTACATCTACACACTCTTTTATATGATCATTTCTTATCATATTTTTTCATTCATCCATCTAAGCATTCTTATGTCTATTATACTCATTCTCTGCTTTATTCTCTTGTGAACTGTCCAACACTCTGAATTATACATAATAGTTGGTTTCACTACTACCTTGACGTCACCGTTTTTTTACACAACTAATCGTAAATACTTAATACTTTCTATCTTTCCTATCACGTCCTCACTTATTGTCACTAATTTCCTCATTTCAACTACCTCCTGTTCTCCTTTGCCAAACTTGTATTCTATATAATCTGTCTTTTTTATTCTTAATCATTTTCTTTAAGAGCTCATCTCCACATCTCTAGACTTTGATTAATTTCCTCACTATTTTCACTATTAATACTATATCATCCGCAAACAACATGCACCACCAAAGCTCCTTATATTTCTCTAGCAATTTTTTTTTCATCACAAAAAAAAAAATAAGAAAGAGCTTAAAGAAGAATCTTGGTGAACTCCTATACTTCTATCCTAAAATCTTCTGTTACTTCGCCTACACTTCTAACTTTGGTACATTAGCCAATGTATATATCCTCTATTAAGTTAATGTACCTTTTTAACATTTTTTTTTTTATTAATGCCCACTTCAAAATCTTTCTCGGTACTTAATTATTTGCTTTCTCCAAACCTATAAATAACATACACAGCTTTTTCTTCTTTTCTATTAATTATCTTACACAAAAAGTGGCTCTATTATTGTCTTTCCAGGCAAAAAACCAACTGGTTCTTTATAAAAAGTAATTACAAATATATAAGATAATTTTTCAATATTTATCTCAACTTTAATAAGCATTTGAAAATTAAAAATAATTTTTTAATTCTTATGAACTTCACTAAATAATTTACAAATTCGGAATTGTTAATTTTTAAAAATTTAAAAAGTTTGAAATCACAATGAGAGTTAAAAAAAAATTGTGGTATTATGGTGACAATAGAGGCTGGTGAAATGCTACTTTATATCTTCTCATGTTTAATTTTTATGAATTCTAATATAAAAAATTCTTAATATTTATAAAAAAAATTAAATATATATTTTTAAAACATTATATTATTTACATTTACACAAAATATCTAAATAAAATAAAAATATTAATATATAAATTTTAAATTATAATTTGTAATATTTTTAATATCCCTTTAAAATATGTCATAAAAAGAGGGTCTGTTTATTTTTATCTCTGGACATTTATGAACCGCTCTATTCTTCCGGTTCTAGTATAAAAGTGCTAAAATCTATTAAAATATTGATTAAAAAGTTGTTATCGACTTGTCATTTTTTTATTTTTAAATTAATTAAACATATATGTTCTTTTTTAAACAACTTAAGTTGTTATTATTTTAAAGGGGTTATTATTTTAAATTTCAGTACATAGTATACTATTAACTTCCGAAAAAAAGTATACTTTTAATGATATTACGTGTACTAATAGTGAAATTAAAAACATTTGTGTCAACATTTAAATATGCTATGAGCAATTAAAGTTCCGTTAAATTACAGAGCTTTCTCGAATTTTTGAACTTAAATCTATTATCGTTGGTGTATTTTATTTAATATCAATAATATATTTAAATATTATAAAATTTTTTATATTTAGATGTTAGAAATGAACAGGGTAAAATAAATTAATTTAAATTTAGAATTTTTATAAATTGTTTTAAGATCTGAAATATAAAGATATTTATTAAAAAAATTAATAAAAAAACCCTAAAAAAAGTAGACAAAAGGGGATATCTGATACTAAAATGCCATGTGGAAGTTATGACAGGTAACGTATCGAATAAAAAAGAACATAGGGGTTACACTTAACGAGTATTTAAAAACCTAAATAACACAGGAATTTGATAATTGTGTAGCTGAACATTTACTGACCTTTAGTCACATAAACTAATATAGATGAATTAAATAATTACAGAAATCTTAATTTAAAAAAGAAATTTAACATTCTTATGAATAAAAAAGTTTATCTAAATGGGATTATTAAAAAGTGAGTTTATTATCGAAAAATAATGTCAAAATCGATCAGATGATGACGTCATAGGGGTATATATAGATTGTTTTTCTTAATAAAGGTACTAGTGTTTAGCACTGATAGTGATGACATAGTTGTTGAGATACGTATAACGGTATAAATATATTTTTAAGATTTTTAATGGTGTTTAAAAAAATATTCAGCTGAATACAACTAATATTTCTTGTATTGAAGATTCATTTTTTTATAATAGTCTAATGTTAAGCTACACGTCAGTATTATTAAATTGTTGATACAATTTTTTTAAAGTACGCACTTTAAAAAAGCAAAAACATATATTATTGATAAATAAACGATAAATCTATTGTGCTTAAATATACATTTACCTAGA